GCAGAGAAGGAGCGATAGCGAGCGGCGGAGGATCGACGTTTGGCGGAGGATGAGCGACATCGGGTGGAGGAGGAGCGACGGCGACAAAAGGAGGAGCAACAGGATAAACAACTTCAAGATATAGCTGCTTTGGTTAGACAGCTCAGTCAATCTCAACATTTTCTTCCGCCACCATATTAAATATCGTCTTTTTGTTTGAAACAATTTAGTTTTTTGTTTGGTTGGGATCATTGTTGTTTACTTTTATGTGTGATATTTAGTTCTATTTCGCGTTTTTAGTCCCCTGTTTTAATATTGTATGGATTTACAGGTTTTAAATACATGTTTTAAATATTAATTGTAAAAATAATTTAAAATTAATATTTATATACTTCTCCAATGGATTTCCGGCTGAGAATTCCGCCTGTAATTTTTCATGAATAAAAGTATATTTTTTTAAATAAATTTAAAATTATTATTTATATAATCTTCGGGCGGATTTCCGGCGGTGGTATCCGCCGGTATTTTTTTTAAATTTAAAAATATATTTTTTAAATGAATTTCTTTTCCGGCGGAAAGCTTACCAGCATATTTCCGGCGGATATATCCACCGGTAAATTAAATAATTTTTTTTTAAAAAGACCTAAACATTTTCTTAATTTAATCACGATTTTATAAATAAACCGGTGAGAAATTTCCTGCGGCCAAGGCGGAAATAAATCACTGGCGCCACTTTTTTCGGCGGATATTGCCGCCGGAAAAAGTCTCCTGTTTGGTAGTGCATGTGAGACCATCCTATTTTCATGAGACCCCTGAGACCACTTTTTTATTCTTGAAACTTCATAGCAAAACATTGTAAGCGTAACCTTCACAATGTTTTTGTTGTGAAGGTTCGAATTTTTTTTTACCTTCACAGTGTTTTGCTGTGAAGTTTCAAGTGTAAAAAAGTCTCACGAAAACAGTCTAGTCTCACGTGAACCCAACTCTCTCTCTCTCTCTCTCTCTCTCTCTCTCTCTCTCTCTATATATATATATATATATATATAGAGAGAGAGAGAGAGAGAGAGCTAACTATTTAAGAAAACAATCAAAATGTCGTCAATGTACAAAATCACATGTGATTTTACATTAAATGGAAGCGAACGACTTTTAAGGCTACTTAAGTCTTAGAGCAAAGTCGTCCAGATCATGTATGATTTGTTACGTGAATCATATATAATTTTGTACATTAACGACATTTTACATGTTTTTTAAAATAGTTAGTGTTTGAACCTGCCCTTATACATACATACATATATATACACATACATACATACATATATGTACGTACATATATACATACATACATACATACGTACGTACGTACGTGCATGCATGCATGCATACGTACGTACATACATACATACATACATACATACATACATACATACATACATACATACATACATATATATATATATGTATGTATATACATACATAGAGGAGCGATCAAATGCAAATCATTCAGTTTGTACAAACTGTGCAAACCTCATTCAACCAATCATAATTTTTTTCATTTTTTCCATTTTTTTGTAAGTATGAGAGGTTAATTAATCATTTTTATTGTGGAGGGTGTTAATCATGGATATTATCATCTTCATTATTTTAATTTTAGAGAAATACATGAAACAGTCTCATTAAAATTTCATTAAGTATTATATGAAACAATTTAATAACCATATATGAAACAATTTAATAACCATATATGAAACAACTTTATCAAAAAAGTATTATATGAAACAATTTCACAAGATTAAACAATTTCATGAAAAATTTTCATAAAAATAAACAATGAAATCGACGAATGAGGGTGATTTGCACGGTTTGTACAAATTGGATGGTTTGCATTTGATCGTTCCTCATATATATATATATATATATATATATATATATATATAGTCTATATTTTTTATAGGAAAAAATATAAAAAAATAATAATAAAAAGACTAAAAAGGCCCTTGTGCCTAAATTTCACGTGTTTCTCATGTCTACCGATCTAAAAAGGTCACATCATTAAAGAGATACAAGAAAGATGTATTAAATAAATTTATACCAAACAAACTAAGAATATGTCATGGATTGTTGGGGACAAAGAAAGAACATGAAATATAAAGATTTTGGTTACCGGTGAAAAGTAATACTGATTGGTTTGAACTTGAATTTAAAGGTCAAAAGTATCTAGAGGTCCTAAGTTTAAATCCAAGGAGAAATAAAAATCCCCTTGTGGCTACAGAGGTTCAAATGCGGTAACTCCGGGCTATCTGTAAAGCAGATAGTCTCTCTAAGCTTAGTCGGCTCGCATAGCGAGTTAGATATCCAGGTTGATAAAAAAAAAAAAAAAAAGATGTTGGATTAAATGGATTGAAGAGTTATTATTTGATGGAAGAATTCAAAATCACCACTTCTAGTTTATCCCCAAAAATGGAACACAACACAGTGTAGACTGTAGACTGTAACATGCATCATGTTTGAATTTGATTTGGATCATTAACTGTTGGGCTTTTTAATTTTAATTAGTTGTAAGGTCTTGCTTTTTCTCTTGTGGATATAAGATTATTCATATTCATAATCATAGGTAATGCATGCTTTTATTCCTAATTATTATATTAATTAAGTCATGATTAAATTTGAATTTAGTTATCAAGTGATGTCTTTTTTTTCTTTGTACTTTTATTAACATCTTTTATGGTTGATTTTAAATTGTCACTTTCTCAACTACAAAACTAAACCAACTACCAAAAGAGACCAACTCGACACGATTTAACTAGACCGGTTTTGACATGTTGTTCAGGTTTAATTTTGCATGTGTTCAGGATATTTCATTAATTTATATAAAACTATAGTCCAAGATTCAAATTATTAATAATTTAGGTTTAGAATAACTTTGTTTATCCCGTTGAAACCATGTCACAGGAATAGGATAAGGATAATTTTTGAAATGTCTAGGAAGAATGATACAAGAGGTTCACCCACTTTATCTTGTTCATAGAAAATGGGAAGCCCACTCATTATATGATTTATTCACAAATATTCTCTTTCTAAAAATCTTGAGAAGAAAAAAAAATAATAGAGTATAAATGGGTACATATTTTCCTAGAGTATGGAACTCCTGTAATTATAAATTTGGCTCTGATATCATGTTAAGATATGTGAAATCTCTTTGAATAGCCTTTATAGAGTAGAGAGATGAGAGGTTTCTAACTTTCTATATGTATATATTCACAGGTTTGATGGTTCGCATCTAGCTTATATGAGACTTCAACATGTCCCTAAAGAAAGGCTCGATGGTGGCTTTAAGAACACAAGCAAAGTCGAGTTTGTAAGTAATATTAAACCCTAACTCTGATACTATGTTAGAATATGTACATTGTCATTAGATTACACATGCATGAGGTCATATATAATATGTAACACAAATGTCCACATAAGATTCTCTCCTCAACTAAAGAGTGATTTTACTTGCCATATATTGCATACAATCTTATGTGTAAATAAACAAACACAATAGGCCAATAGCAGTGGTCACATCTGTGTTCATGGCTTCTACTGCAGCTACAAATTAATCAACATCATCAAGATATTTTATGTTAGAAAAATATCGATCCAAGTTGTCATGTATTTGTTCATGGCATTTTGTCATTGAAAGATATCTAGTCAAGTTTATACATTTAGTTATTGAAAGATATATATAGTCAAGTTTATACATTAAGCTATTGAAAGATACATATAGTCAAGTTTATACATTTAGTTATAGAAAGATATATATATATAGTCAAGTTTATACGAGAACACTCACCAAATAGGATAACAAGAATATGGCCGAATCACATGTAACCTACACAACTTTGGCTGCAACCTAAGGTCTCAGATCAGATTGACCGTGTTTCGTAATCACATATGATTACATTGGCAGTTTTCTTGTTCTTTCATTTTGACCTAATTCTCATTTGATCCTTCCATATATATATATATAGGGGCCTAATCAAATGAGAACTAATTAGTTTGTGGTAACCGTGAGGTCCAAATTCAACCACAAATCAATAGATAAATTAGGAAATTTATAATTTTGGTAATTTTGAATTAAAATTTTAATGCAAGGACATTTTAGGTATTTTAAAACTCTTCTCTCTCCTCTCTTCTCTCTCCATCTCCCGTCTTCCGGCCACCGTCCTCCAATGATACTACAATGGTATCACAATGCAGCATATATGTGTTTGGGTATCACATTGAGGTCATTTGTGTGGTCGATCGGAGATGTAATACAGTGGTACTACATTGGGTATCACATTCCATCTTGTATGTATTTTGGGTATCACAACGTGGATGATCGGTATGTATTCCTTAAATTTAGATTATGGCTTTGATTTTGTTTTTAAGGTTTGGGTTGGTATCACAATGGTATCACAGTGATACCACAGTGGGTATCACATTGTGTATCACAATGATTACTTGGTACCAGTCGGAATAATGTTCATCGGAGGTCAGAGATATGAGGTCGGAGAGAGGTAAGAGGTGAGAGGAGAGAGGAGTTTTTAGAAATACCTAAAATGCCTTATAATTATAATTTTAACTCAAATTACCAAAATTACTAATTTTTCTAATTTATTCGTTGATATGTGGTTGAGATTGTATCTCACCGTTACCACAAACTAATTAGTTATCCCTTATATATGTATATATATTTATATACATGTATATAACATCAAAGAGAGTTTTTGTTGGAAAACGATAAGATCACCTGATCAGACTAATTATTTAATCGTGACGGATGAACTACTGCCCAACTTGCCTAACAAATGATCTGAAAACAACCACAAAAGGTTAAAATTATCCAGCCATTTTGATCATATATTTAATTTGTTTCAATTAATTTCTCTATATATGTATGTATATATTTGCTTTCAGTTCCTATATATTGCTTTCATTCAAGAATTAATTACTAGAGTTTTGTTACAGTTTGCTAATTCCCGCCGCCGGAAATCATGGAGATTTCGTCGGAAAACATCTCCAAACAAGGCTCCATTCAGAAAGGAGGCCTTAGAACTATGCCTTTTATCATAGGTACATCAATATATCTTCTTATTTTTCTTACGTTTTTTTTATAACTGTAGGTGTCTAAACCAGTTTGAGTTTGATCACATGCTCGTCCATGAGGAAACTCGATCGAACTCACCCTCAAGGTTTTCCACAAGCTGCAAATGGTTAACAAAAGCTTACACTAATTCTTGTTTAATTAATCATTGTTTGCAGTGAATGAGGCATTCGAAAGGGTGGCGAGTGTGGGATTACGAGCAAACATGATCTTGTACCTTAAAAACGAATATCACTTGAGCAATGCAACTGGAGCAAACATCATGTTCTTATGGGGAGCCATCTCCAATTTCATGCCTACTTTGGGCGCTTTTCTTTCGGATTCATATTTGGGACGTTTTCGCGTCATTGCAATAGGATCAACCATTTCTCTAACCGTAAGATCCAATCTCATCCTATGATCAATCATTCATTAATCGGTTTGATCCTAATAGAGATTATATCTAACAACAAGACACTACTATATACATATATATGTGTGTGTGTTTCTTTAATTAGGGAATGACTATGGTGTGGTTAACCGCGGTCTTTCCAACAGCAAGGCCGGATCATTGTGATCCTCGGATTGAAAGTTGTACCAAACCACACGAAGCCCAGATCGCGCTTCTCTTCCTATCTTTCGCCATAATGTCTATAGGGTCAGGTGGGATTCGGCCATGTTCTCTAGCTTTTGGTGCGGACCAGTTTGATCGGCCTGAAAACACAGAAAACGCGAAAATCTTGCAGCGTTTTTTCAACTGGTACTATGCTTCGGTCGGGATTTCGGTGATGATATCTGTGACGGTTATCGTTTATATCCAAACCGTCAAAGGTTGGATTCTGGGATTTGGAGTTCCAGCTGCACTAATGTTGTTCTCAACTGTCATGTTTTTCATGGGTTCCTCTCTTTATATCAAAGTGAAGGCAAACAAGAGCTTGTTCACTGGTTTTTTTCAAGTTGCTGCAGCATCTTTCAAGAACAAACATCTTGTTTTTCCACCCACGACTTCCGACGGATTGTTCCATCACAAAAAGGGTTCCACGATTCGTGTTCCGTCCGACAAAATTCGGTACTTTTTCATCATATAATGCCATGATCAATTATCACCATTTTTGTTACCCGTCACTACAACAAGATCAGTGTCATAAGAATAGACTGTCTTATACGACTAAACAAGTGTGATGCTTATATAAAAGTGTTACAATAAATTGATACGATACTTTTAAGCATTCTAACAAATTTTTTAAAATAAGTTATATACAACAACTAAAATTTATTACAAAAGTCTTCTAAAAACTTGTTGGGTTAATTTATCCTAATACATTTAATTTTATAAACTTAAATTCTATAAAACAATCTATCAATTTATTTAAAGATCTCATTAATAAAACCAATTTTTGTTATATACGGAAGACAAAAATGCAAATGGCGTTGCAATATATATATGCTAGCAATCAGGCACAAAATGCCAGGAATATCGGAAATTGGGCCATCCGATTCTTGATTTCTAACCTTTTATGGAAAGTTAGTTCTAGAAATCAGAAGTGGCCTTGGAAACTCCTAAAACAATAAAATGGAATATTCTATCATCCAATGTTAGGGGTTATGCTGAATGGTTTGATATAGAATGATTATTATGTGATCAGAATGATTAAGAGACTCTCATGATATAATGCAAAATAAAATATAATTGTTTGGTAATTATTTACAATGAAATTAAGGCACTGAATGGTTAAAGGAGACTCAGGATATAAAATCGTTCAGAGGATACCATTTATAGACTTTTTTTTTTGCCAAACAAGTTTCGCCTCTTAATGATTTAATGGTTGCCTCTTAATGGAACTATTAAGAGGTAAACAAACAACCCCTTAGTAGTCATCATCTTCATTAATAACACGTGATTTAGGCATACTCTTTTTTTTTGCTAATTTCGATATATTATTAAAGAAATTACAGTATAATTGGTTTTACATGTAAAAAAATGTCTAAATGTTATAATAAATGGTTTTATAAACTTAAGTTTATTAGGTTACAAACAATTGTAGCAGTGAGAAAAGGATCTGAGCAGCCAACCCTAATATATTATTTTCTTGTTTCTTTCTCTATGTTCCTCTAGATTCTTGAACAAAGCTTGCATACTAAGGAACCCAGAAAAGGATCTAACTCCGACCGGATCAGCGGTGGACCCATGGAGCCTGTGCACCGTGAAGCAAGTCGAAGAATTCAAGGCCCTAATCAAAGTAATCCCGATATGGTCCGCCAGCATAATGATCGCAGTGACCGTAAGCCAACACTCCTTCCCAGTGCTCCAAGCCAACTCGATGGACCGCCACGTGATCGGAACCTTCAAGATCCCACCAGGCTCCTTTGACGTTTTCACGTTACTAACTTTAACCATTTGGGTCGCCCTTTACGACCAACTTCTAGTCCGTCAAATCTCCAAACTCACAAAGCGACCCGAAGGTCTGAGCCTAAAACAACGAATGGGAATCGGGCTATTCCTATCGTGCCTTAGCATGGCAGTGTCGGCAATGGTGGAACGAAAGAGACGAAACGCAGCTATTAGCCAAGGACTTTCGAGGGACCCACTTGGGGTGGTTAACATGTCAGCATTCTGGCTAGTTCCACAACATTGTTTGCTTGGATTAGCGGAGGCTTTCAATGCAATAGGGCAAATAGAGTTCTATTACTCTCAGTTTCCAAAGAGTATGACTAGCATCGGTGTGGCTCTATTTGCGCTCGGATTGGCGGTTGGGAACCTAGTTGCGAGCCTAATCGTGGGAGTCGTGAATGAGTACTCGAAACACGGAGGAGGAGTGAGTTGGGTTTCGAATAATTTGAACCAAGGTCACTATGATTATTACTATTGGGTTATTGCCATTTTGAGTGTAGCAAATTTCTTCTACTTCTTAGGTTGTAGTTGGGCTTATGGTCCTTGTGATGAAACAAAGCATTGGGATGAAGAAGAAGAAGAAGAAGAAGAAGAAGAAGAAAAGGAGGTTCAAGAGGAGACATTTGTTAGAGGGTCTTCTTCTCCAATGCATCATAGGGTTTAGATAGATGATCTCCATTGTTTCATGCAATGCCCTTGTGATTTCTAGTTAACTGCATCTAGTTCTTCAATGCATCAGATTTATGTTCATTGTTGTTTGAAATCATAATTGCTTGGCTCCATTTGTAATAAGTATTGAAACGGGTTGTTGTAAGAATATGTGTAAGCCCGTTAGATCATACTTCAAAATAAACAAAGTTTCAACATGTATAGAGGAACAATGGTTTAAATCTAGCTGATATGGGATTTCTGTTGAAATTTGTACCTGTTAGGGGTTCAATTCCGGATAAATATCCGGAATTTTTAGTTAAAGTAGATGCTGCCATAATAGTATAATTAAATACATGCCCACATTTATAAGATGATACTATAATTTATAATTCAGAATACAAGGTATTAAGCATATCAGTAAAATAAAATTAAGCCTGTTTAAAACATACAAAGCATAGGCGATAGAAACATTATACTAGATTACTGATCTCTCGTTGGATCAATCAATAATTTAGTGTAATATCTCATAAAATACTACGCATACATATCTTTCACATAGTACCGTTGGGTAAACAATGTAATAGATAGACAAATCATGCTAAAATTCCATCATTTAAATCATCAAATAGGTTTCCGTTGGGTCTCCTAAATTTCAATCTAAACAATGTATTATATATTTATTTCACTTATTCCGGATAGGTTCTCGTTGGTTTCACTATCCAAAATAAATTTAATCTTGATTAGCATAACAATTTTAAGTATAAATCATAATACATATATCACCATTGTTATGCATTGTCATGATTGTTGGAGAAACACTCAAAATACATATATAAATATATAAGAAGGCATATCAGTCATGTTGCTAGGATGTAAAGTGCCCAAAGCGATGTCAAAAGGATTTGCAGAGATCATAATACAAATATTCATATCTCATAAGGGCACATAATTCAAATTCAGAATGAGGCATATAATTCAAATTTGGAAATCAAAAAGAGGCATAAAATTACAAAACTAAAACTTACAGAATCCAAATTTGCAATTCACTTTTTCTTCTTCTCATTCGATTACTGTTGTGCGTTTTTCAAATATCAAAACCCACTAAATTCATCAAGTACCGATAGACTTCCAGATTTATTAATTAAATATAGAGATAGAATTGGAAGTCATGTAACGAATTCACATATTATTTAAAAAAAGAAATACTCATTGTTGTAGATTCGTTTAAGAAGTTAGGGTTCATCATAATTAGGGCAAATCATGCATATATCAAGAACATGGCTCTGATACCACGTGTTAACTTAATCCCAAATATATGCATAAGAATCCCTAATCAAAACATATGAATTCATAAATACAACAAATTAAGTAAAACTTACTTGGTGGAGTGTTTGTCTTTATTCCACTTGAAGAAGCCATGAAGAGCTAATTTTGGTTTCCTTTGATTGTTTCTCTTCGTTGCTTAATCGATGGATTGATTGTTCATATATTTTGTTCCCTCTAATGAAGAGAGAATTCCATTGAGAGTCTTGAGGGAAAAAAGCAACGTGAGAAAACAAAAAGGGATAACCACCACTATATATATGTAATCCAAGGGGTGCAACTCTCCATCAAATTAACTCCCCTATATTTGCACTCAAGTCCCTCCAGAAATTATAGGGACCAATATGCAATAATGGAATAATATTAATAAAAATTATATATGTGTAAATAAACATACAAATGATCAAGGACATAATTTATAGGATTCCAACAACTTCAACACGAATAATAATCTCTTGTAGTCACCTCTCATGTGTGTCTCACCAACATTATTATAATATTTAATGTAAGTTCATTTAATTCTCTCTCTACGAAATAAAATGATGATGTGTTTTTACGTGATTGGTGGACGAAAAAGGATAACATGTTTTTATTCAGATAAAAAGGGTTGGCTTAAACGACATATCGTAGTTAAGGTTCAAATATAGAAAGAACATTGATATTGCACGGCATACACGGGCAGGTCTATGAAGGAACCAAGGGTATCCCGTGCACCCACTTAACCAATTTTAGCCGGTAGAATTTTTTTGGGTATGAAATGTGCACTCGTTAAACTTTGAAGGATGTTCCAAAATATTAGAAAAATACAAGAGACATCAACCAAAAAATTATAAAATAAAACCCTCGAATTCAACCAAAAAAGTCTCTCGAATTTAACCAAAAACCCAAAAAAAATCTTTCGAAATCAACCAAAAATTTTTGAAAAAGAAAATTCGTCTTGACATTGGAACTCGGCTAAAAATACATCATTCTTACTCCTAAGACGTAGTATTGCATCTTGCTCAAAGGTTATTCCATTTAGAAAAATTGTATTCTATTTTCCAAATTGACACGATTCTCTTTTACCAAATCAAACCATGTTGACTTTCCACATAATCAAACCATAGGTTTACGAGTCTTTGATCCGCCTTAAAGGGTACCCACTCGACAAAAATATGAGTAGGCAACTGAGTATAAAAAAACCCTTTAAGGCGGATCAAAGGCTCATAAACCGACAAAAATATGAGTAGGCAACTAAGTATGAAAAAACCCTCAACAGATTAAATTCAAGGAAATAATTCTGATATGAAAAGTTTCCAAAAAGAGATTGGATCGAAGTTGGTTTTCCCAAGTTTCTAGAAGTATCCCAAATATTGATAACGACTTTTGATTTTTTATACGATTAGATCTTATATCAACAAAGAAACCCTATTCATTTGGACTTTTTTTCCCCTCAAAATTGTCAATGAATGAAACTTGTCACCCATTCTCGATAATGATATGTCATTACTGTGATTTTAAATGTTAAATTGTAAGTATTAATTTGTTCATATTTAATAAAGTAGGATTGGTGGATTGACCCCCTAAACTAAACCCTGATGATATTATCAACTATAATGACCCCCAAATGGCAAATGGGAAAGCCAATCAATTAAACCTTTTCTAGTCTGGCTCAGGACTTCCAAGTGGTAACTTCTTGCATCCAAATGCATTAATGACTTCAAAAAAAATTCTATATTTTCTTGCATCTATTAACTATATATATGTGCGTCTGTTAGTGTATATATGCACGAACGAGAAGCAAAAGAAGTGATTTGGACTTTTGATCACATTTAATCTCAAACCCAACTATAAAACGCACTTGATATAGGAATTGATCTGGTGCATCTCATCCTAATGTGCGTTTAATGATGGAGATCTCTTCTAATGTTTTCCACCTTAACTCTCTTTTGGGTTCCAATGAGAAGTGTAAGAAAGAATCTCCACCTTTTGATGCACATTAGGATGAGATGCACAGAGATGATATGTATCGGATCAATCCATGTATCAAGCACGATTTATGGGTGGGTTTGAGATTAAATATGATCAAGGGTCCAGATCATTTCTTATACTTCTCATTTTAACTCTAGTTCTCAAACAATCCTATATATATATATATATATATATATATATATAAAGAGAGAGAGAGAGAGGGGGGGTAAGATCAAATGTTAACCAAAGTTTTTGTGTGAACTTTGCAAACCATGTCAACCAATCACAATTCATTCTTTTATTAGGTTTCTATCATGTTCACAATTTAATGCCAATGGTAGTTGAGAAATTTTATATGATATGTAACTCCCATACTATTAATGGGGAGTTACAAAATCATAAAATCCCTAAAAGTATCCATTTATAATATTGATATTTTTTTTTTAACCTTGATCTTCCATGTTATAAACAGCTTGTGAATTCGAACCAAATAGATCTCATATGTTGTTCATATATGTTCATGTTCATATATGTTCACATTACTCATCTCATAATCATTAATGATTGATCTAACTTGCACCAAATAAATCTATACACAATTTATTCATATATGTTCATGTCAATTATTTTAGTCTATGAGCAGTTTGTGAACTCGAACCAAATAGATCTCACCTGTTATTCATATATGTTCATGTTCATATATGTTCACATTAATCATCTCATGGTCATTAATGATTGCTCTAACTCGCACCAAATAAATTTATTTTCTGGTTGTTGCAGTTGATTACTCCAGTTATGTAATATTAATGTTCATTGATTTTACTAACTATGATGGTATCAACAGGTGTTCACATACTTACACCCTCCGAACATGAAACGGAGTACGATCCCGAGTGTTCAAATGGAAGCAAGTATTTTATCTCCAATGTTGATGACGAGTTTAAACCAAAGATCAACGCACAATTCGTATCTATAAATGAAACGGAAAAGATGTACAGGACGTACGCGGACAATGTCGGGTTTGATGTTCGCCTTCATGCCAAAAGAAAACAAACAAGAACGGAGACATACAAATACAATGGTTTGTATGTAGTAGGGAGAAAATACCAAATAAAAAGTATTTTGATTCTATGGCTCTTTAGTCCAGCGAGAGAAGATACCATAATACGAACCTTAAACGGTGTGGATGTAATGCATGTATAAAACTCCAATTGACAAATGATCGCTCCTAAATGTGTTCATAATGAATGAACTATTGTTCACAAGCTGTTCATATTGTATCCATACATGTTTTTTTATTTATTTTCTTTCGTATAACAGTTATTCGTATTATGTTCATATTGTGTTCATAAATGCTATGCAGTCCAAGTTCATATATATGTCAATTTTTTGTTCGTATTTGACACAA